CAGTACCACTGCCCAGAACTGTAACAAAGTGGTAAAGATCCCAGTACCACTGCCTAGAACTCTTAACAAAGTGGTTGAGACCGCAATGTCTATAGCTTAATTTGAATAACCATTTTCGAAAGGAAACCATACCTTGCGGGACTTTTATGGGAAATATTAACAACAACAGTATTTTGATTGTAAAATATTCAGCATGGCTAGACCGAGATTCGAACCCTAGACTTCAGATTAATATTGACTATGGCTCTAACCGATTGTGCTACCTGGTCAACAGAATTAAGTGTCTAGGCCCAACTGTACATGTGCTACAGTACCATCCAATCAGAAGTTAATGGGAGGTAACTCAATATACGAAAAACACAGTGCAGCAGGACTCGAATCCTTAACCCTTTCACCCCTATGTAACTTTAGTAGACTCTACCACGCATTGACCTGGATGAGTCCATTATGGTCTACAGTAGTGGTGAAATGGTTAATTATAAGGGTACATTACAGCAGAATTAGCTACTGCAGCCCTTAAGACTACATTGTGGTAGGGCTCTTTGCAGACAATCCGAGAATTTTCTTCTTGGCCTTTGTAATATTGCAGTTTGATGATGCAGGCACTGAAATTACCTCAAATTTACTCTACTTTTGTCCCCAGGAAATGCATCATTGAATTGAACCTCTCCGTTTTCCTATACTTTCTCTGTGAAAGGCTTGTAAGTCTGATGGTAGGAATTTGGCTGAGTGGTTAGCACCCAGGCCTTCCACACAGGCGGCCGGGATTTGATCCCTGAAGTTGTCATACGCATGAAATATTCAGAGAAAGTGTTTTGATCCTGCCCACACAACCCCAACAACCCAGGTGGAATATATAAGTGTCTAGGGTGGATGTGAAGTGGTATATGTGTTGTAGCAATCATGTAAGGTGGCACTATCAAAGATGCTGTTGCACGTTAGATTCCCACTACAAACAGAAAGCATATACACATTGGGAGATATTAGCCAGGTGGTATAGGACTAGTAGTTAGGGCCTGATATAAGGCAGCTCCTGCAAATTCCTCAAAATGGTATTGATTAATGTACGTTGTATATGTTAATTGTATTGATTGCATTAATTGTATATCTATGTATACGTACTGTAAAGCACTTTAGAATAGCTTATTCTAGCTAGATCATCATGGGGGCTATATATCTTGCATAATTTTACAACAAAAAATGCCATCTTGATGGTAAATCTAAGTTTCAAATTTCTAACTTTAAATCTGTGTTATGTTGCCTTAACTCATCCAACCCTGAAATTTTATAATGAACTATTCCAACCTTGAATTGGAAGAGTTCAAATATGTCTTCAGGGGTAAATGAGTTAATGTCTTGATATAGCTGGCTTGGTTTCAACAGTATTAAATAGAGCTACATGCTATTTGACCTACATTTACTAATCATGGTGATGAATAAACCGGGTATATCATTGGGAGGCAATGTATTTACTTTACTGATGTGCCTCAGTATAAACAGAGTTATTGCCCTTTGTTTCTGGTTTGGTGCATGTTACCATGCTAGTGAATTTAGTTTTGAACAGATTTTGATTAATCTTTTCTTCAAAGGTCAAGTACAAGAATATCTCAGGGATGAGTTGGGATTTATTGGTTCCAAGGTCAAAACCAAGGTCTCTGTTCTTATTTATAGAAATCTGTCAACCACAGACTGTCATTATACCCTTTTAATTAATTCATTTCTTGAAAATATGTCCCTGGGTTACCAAGATCAAGGTCACGAAATGTCACAGTTAATGTTTAAAGAAATTAGTCAAGCACTTCAGTGTAATCCCTCTGGCAAATTCATTTCTGAACAGATTTTGATCAAATTTTATACAAATGTCAAGTGTGAGAATACCTCAGAGGAATTCATGTTTTATGGACCCAAGGCCAACGTAACTTATTACCTGCGCCCAGAAGCGCCCATGTGATGTCAAATACAGATATTTTGTATAGATTTTTTAACCGATGCAGTGACTCTCACCACCATCAGGATATCATGCCTGAACAAGTTTTGATAAAACTTTTATATACTGTAATTAATAAGAAATAAATGTTACTTGTTTTAGCACACTCATGATCAGCACATTATCCAATTTTGTCTCTTATAGCAATATAGGTTTACTAGCATATTGATGTAACAAAATGTGTAATCGTGCAGTAGAAAAGTCTATAAACAAACTACTAGACTTAAGTTATATTAAGACTATCAAGACAACCAACATGTTAAGTGAAACACACTAAAATATGACTACCACTAAGATATGAAAATTTATGATACAAAGGTCAAGTATTAAAATACCTTTGATAATTTTGTGTTAATTTAGGGTCCCTAGTTTATAAGGTCACCATTAATTTACCATGTATAGAAAATTGTTTTACAATGAGACCTTAATTTATGAGTTTGTATGGCTGCAGGGGCATTGCATGGTCTTACAGACAATTTCTAGTCAAAAGTATTTTCCTTCAGTTGCATATTTATTTCCTTGTATCTATATCTGGCCATTCCCTCTTATCTCCCTCTGGCCTTTTTAATTATCGAACATTATATATTTCATAGATACTGCATATGTCATGACTGCAGGCAATAATATACAGCATCTGATGTAGCGCCCTATCTAGCTTAAACATAAGTCACTCTAAAGCACTTAACAGTACATAGATATACAATTACTACAATATAGCATATACAATTTTTAAGGAATTCGCAGGAGCTGCCTTATCAGGCGCTTACTACGTATACTAGTCCTATGCCACCTGGCTAATATCTCCCTATGTGTGTATGCCTGCGTGTGTGCTGGAGATATATTGTGTTCTGTTTGTAGTGGGACCGTGCTTCCAATGGCATCTTTTATAGTGCCACCTCACTTGAATGCTACATCACAGATACCACAACATCCACCTCAGACCATTTTATAATCCATCTGGGTTGTTGGAGTTGTGTGGGCAGGAGAAAAAAAATTCTCTGATATTCCATGCGTGCAACAACTTCGGGGATCAACCCTGCCCGCCTGCGTGGATGGCCGAAGCGTTAACCACTCAACCAATCTGCAATATATATAGTTCCACCCTCACATTGCTCTTGTTCTTGTAAGTTGGCTTTGGCTTAACTCATTCACCCCTGAAGACACGTTTGAGCTCTTCCAATTCAAAGGATGGAATAGGTCATGATGAAGTTTCAGGGGTGATTGAGTTAAGGTTGATATCATCTAAAATTAATCTCCTTTAGTTTGATATGGTTTAATAACTGTGGGAAATTTTCATTTTCAAAGTGTAAAAATCTTTGAAAATAATTGTCTTACATCACATACTGATGAGTAATGGTTACGTAAAATATCAAAAATAACATTTTGTGAGATTTTGATGTTATTAAAACAAAAATGGTTCCATAGCTTTTGTCTTTTATTCTACTGTAATAACCAAACCACCATCCTCAAGAGCATAGGTGGTCGTAACCCCTGGAAATCGAGGATGCCAAACCACAGGATTATTGGGTAATAAACTCTGGGTTTCATGGAACAAATAAAAGTGCTTTTGGTTCTGTTTTATGTAAGGCAGATTTGCTGCTAGTTAAGTGGGCTGAAGAAAAGTGCTTGTTGAAGTGATTAACTGCCAGGAACAGACAGATAATGTTAATAGCACTGCCATTAGTGCTGGAAATATGTTGGGGCCCAAGTAATAGAAATTCTTTATTTGACATCACATGGGGGCTTCGATCTGGGCACAGGTAATAAGGAGTTCTTTATATTAAATTGACATCGTAAGAGTGCTTCAGAGCACAGGTAATAAGGAGTTCTTTGATTGACATCGTAAGGGCACTTCAGAGCACAGGTAATATGGAGTTCTATATTTGACATCATAAGGGCACTTCAGATCACAGGGAATATGGAGTTCTTTATTTGACATCATATGGGCCCTTCAGAGCACAGGTAATATGGAGTTCTTTATTTGACATCATAAGGGCACTTCAGATCACAGGTAATATGGAGTTCTTTATTTTACATCATGCTTCGAGTGCTTCTGGGTGCGGGTAATAAGGAGTTGGGCGAGTTCTTCAGCTTAAATTTTCTTTTGTATAATTTATTTCTGGTTCGTAATTATATAACTGATGAAGGAAACTATCTGTCAGAAATTAAACCAACCAAATGACTCATGGAAATTTATAAGTTCTTGAAAGACCAAAATCCATAACTTTACAATCTAGCATACAAATTATATTTTTTAAATCACTGGGGGCACCTGTATACCATGCTTATACTTATTACATCGTGCAGTTTAATACAGTATGTTGTATTGGAAGATTTTTTCGGTCAGTTTTATTTTTTTCAAAATAACACTGATCACATAGGGGGGCATTCTAATGTCAAAACTTTGTTTTCACGGATCAGAAACCATTATAAGGCAGTTTGCCAGATTCACGCCTCTAGATTGGCAACATTTAAATTTCCATTAAAACAAAACTTATATCAAATAAAATATTGCCAAAACTTCAATCTCCTGCTCCTACAAGATCAAAAATTAAAAATCTCTGGCAGATATGAAAGTTTTGCTACAGAATTTTTCCCATGTTTTATTGTAGCATTGTCAGCGACCAGGTATATAGACTAATTATAATTGTAGAGCTCCGGTCTAGAGTTTTGGAGGTCCTTGGTTCAAACCCCAGTCTAGCCATTGTATTTCTGTCAATTTCCTCGAGTATCGCCAACCCTCGTTTCAAGCACCGGGAGAATGCTAAAGCAAGGGGATATCTGAACCTGAGTTGTAAATAGTGATGTCTTTGGGGTGGAAGACTTGAAAAAGGAGCAAGGAATGTAGCCGAACTGGACTCAAAAAGGTTGATCGCCGACTACCAGGTAGCTCAACTGATAGAGCTCCCATCTAGAGTTTGGCAGGTCCTGTGTTCCAACCCCAGTCTGGCCAGTGTATGCCTCTTTCTCCTGTTATCGTTACAGTAATTTGATGTATTTATTTGTTTTGTAGGAGTGTGACAGTCGGAGCCAGGACTGGACGGTTTCGTCTCTCACTGGCAGTAAGAAGGACAAACTTTGTTTGGTGTGTGGCGACAAGGCTCTCGGCTACAACTTCAATGCCGTCTCCTGCGAGTCCTGTAAGGCATTTTTCCGCAGGAATGCTCACAAGGTAAATAAAGAAAAAGAAAATAATGTAACTAAAAATAGCTCACAATGTATGTTGACTCCAATCAATCAATCATTAATTAATCGGCGTTATAAACACCAAGCTACCTGCGCACTATACCCAAGTGCGCACTTTATGATACCCGAGTGTGCACTATACCCGCAAATTTACGGTAATTATTTTGAAAATACAGGTTACATTGCTTTATGTTTTCCAAAATAGTTACTTAAGTGTCATATTTTACTGATCGTGATATTGATTACATGTCACACTTTGAAGCCCGGAGCATAAAAGCCTGCTAAATCTCATTCTAAAAATAGACTTTGAATTACCACAAAATGGACATTTAAGAGATTCTAACACAGATAGAAGTCTGCCGTCATCGATTTCTTGTCTAACAAATATATAGCAGTGTCTATTTGGACACCTACATGTCATATTAATGATACATAATTGTCAAAAAGTTCAGATCAAGAAGAGTGTATATAACCTAATAATACTTAAGGGTGTATGCTACCTTATGATCACAGTGAAGAAATCACTTCAGGGTGTATGCTACCTAAATCACAGGGTAGAAATCACTTAAGGGTGTATGCTACCTTATGATCACAGTGAAGAAATCACTTCAGGGTGTATGCTACCTAAATCACAGGGTAGAAATCACTTAAGGGTGTATGCTACCTAATCATCAAAGGATAAAAATCACTTAAGGGTGTATGCTACCTAATAATCACAGGGTAGACATCACTTAAGGGTGTATGGTACCTAATCATCACAGGGTAGAAATCACTTGAGGGTGTATGTTGATACATTACCTAATGGTCACCATCCTCGATATCAAAGGGTTACAATCACTTTCACTCTGCACCCCTGGAATATGTCAAAGCAAAATTGAAGGCTCAGCTGTGCGCCACCTTGTTCATGGGACAAGAAAACTAGTTTGATCCTTTGATATAAGTCAAAAGAATCTTGCAGTCACTTAAAGGGACATCACGTGAAAAGGCGTTTTTTTTTTAATGAATGTATGTATTGTATGCACTTCCACTTATGTTACCTCGCTATCCCCATATTCATAGTCCGTTCCAAATGTCCAGTTTGACCACTTGAATTGTTCGGGAAAGCCCGGCTAAAACTAGCACCGATAACGCAGCAAACACAAGTGGTGCGAGCGAGATGAAACGGTTTACAAAGGGGCCCTCAGAGAGGGGCCGTCAGGCAACTGCAACTTCTTACCGCACTATGAAACCAAGTTATATGATTTCTAATTCCGTATTCAAACTTATTGAACAGTAATTATTCATCATCAGAAGTTAATTGCACACTTGCCAATATTAAGAATTTAAATTTATTTAGCTTTTAACATAAAT